TCCTGCACAGGCATGCTCTTTGTGGCATCCAGTTGGTTGTACTCCTGAATGAGTGCTGACAAAGACGACACAGCTTCCCTGAAGCAACTTTCCTCCATCCCTTCAACTTGTAGATAGTGATGGAGGTGAGCCTATAATTGAAATACTGGAGAATGTTCACTGTTTCAGGAACTTTAACACATACAACTATTCTATATGGTAAATGTTCTTGGTTAAAATTACAGATCATTCAGCTTTACAATGGTAAATAAAAATTTGAGTAAAATAAATATTTTGCCTAAATCCTATGAAATAATGAAATTTCCTATTTAGAGTAAAAATAGTGTGTCTCTCCTGTTACAATCAATACGGCACATATGGTAGACAAGCTCAGCCCTGATTTGTAACAGTGTAATTCATCTTAGCTAAAATAAACACAGCTACAAAGGTGTGTAATTACCTTTTTCTTGTAGAGCCTCATGAACCTTTCTCTCAGTTCTATGAAGGTAGGCTTCACACATGTGTTATTTGCTAAAGCTAATAATGAATGTGAGTGGCCCACAGGTGGCACTGAACACAGGCTGGTCTTCCAGCCTTCTTGATTCCAGGAGACAAACTGCAGAGCAGGTTTTAATCTGTGACACAAAAACTCAAAGGTAAGAACATCTACTCCATTATGGCAGTCCACTTTAGTTAAACAAGGATATCACTGATAGTACCATTCTAATTGCTTTGTTCATAATCCAAATTATCTGTTTTTTACCATTAGCAGTATATCATGGGACAATATGATAGAAAACAGACATTTAACAGAAGGACATTTAATTGGCCATGATGGTGATTTAAAAAGATAGAAACACATTGCTTAAGTTTAGAAATCCGGGATAAAAGGAAATGAAGGTGTAATTTTTCCTGCTCTGTAATTCAACAGAGTAATTCTGCTGAAAATAAGACTGTCAAATAACAAAAATAAACTTAGAAGCTATGTAGCAGTAATAGTGGTGGTGGTAATAAAAACAGTAACCTGTAATTTTTTGAATACTTTCAGAAAATAAAACAGCTTACATACATTTAATATTCAGAAATAACAACTTTATACTATTATCTCTACTTTACACTTAAAGAGAATAAGTGACAAAGCAGCTAGGTGGCTTGCCCAAGGTTACACTTTAGGAAGTGACACTACTACAGTTTGAAGACAGGCTGTTTTGACTACATGCCACACTGTCCTAGGAAGTACACATAAACTAGAAAAAGAGAAATCAAACCTTTCAATATTTCTGCGGAGATCTGAAATTTGTACATTGCCTCTCACCATGAGGGCACAAGCGAGGTACAGACTATGTTTGGGGTCTCCTCGAATTAGCTGATGATCTTTACTAAAGGCATCTGAAAACATCTGATCCAACCTACAACAAGAGGCACTATTGATACAAAATAATAGGTCTTTCTTTTAGGCATAATAATAAAATGAAAAGATGTTAATATGGCAGCCTTTGGAATTATTTACAATACACTAGGAGCAAATCAAAACCCACCAAATCTCTAAACATCAGAAAGAACTTTGCAAAAAATTTATTAAGAGTCTAACATTTTAAAGTTCCCTACAGATTTTTACTAACACATTTTTTTCATTGTTCAAGGATTTTTAAAATTTATTTTTAAATTACTATAAATTTTTTATTAGGATATATTCATTATACAGGGTGGGATTCGTAGTGACAATTCTGATTAGACTTATGTTGTACGTTATTTATATTGCCCCCATTGCTCTCCCCCTTAACTCCCTCCCCACCCTACTTAAAGCAATTGCAAGAGGTTTTTTAGTTCTGTTTCATATATGAAGTACATCAACCATATCTCCTTCCTTCACCTCCCCCCTTACTGTCACATTTTAATTAAAAAACAAATCTTCAGGTTGGTGGAGTGGCTTAAGTGGTTGAGTGCTCCCTAGAAAACGTGAGGCCTTGAGTGCAACCCCAGTACTGCCAAAACAAACACAAATCTTCACCATAAATTATTCTGATTAAAAAATGTTGATGCAAGTATTACTTTTATTAAACTGTACCAAGTAGGATTGCAAGATATTCATTTGACTTTGAAACACTCAGGACCAAGTGAAAACATTTTTTTCCTTTGTGTTGAACTTAATTAGAAATTCTACGTTTTTGTTTCCTAAGAGAATTAACTTTATATATAAAATGTCTGAATCATATTATTTTATAGTAATAGTGTGCTACCAATTTACTTTCTGTATGTCCATATTAAAAGTGTCATTCTTCTTTTAATCTAATATGCTGGGCTGATACTAGCAAACAATGAATGATTAACATGTTCCATATGCTGTGTGTATGCTGCTTCACTTGTTAAGATTATTAGGATCTGATTCATAAAAGGAGTCCTACCTATTAATTGGCCTAAGTGGTCATTTGCAGCTGGCTCAGATGAAAGTTAATTAGCATCATTTGTGGTATTACTGAAGCATAGACATTGCTATCTTGCTGAAACTTTAACTGTAAAAAAGAGTCTTTAGTTTTTACTTTGTCATTTACATCCTCTCCCTGAGTTTGGCAGGACCCTTTTCCTTTCAACTAGGAATGCCAGTGTGCACTTCTCAAGCTCATCATCACTGTATATGCCAAAAGCATCTTTTAAAACCATTTTTGTTAATGTAAACTTTATGCTTAAAAAATACCACATACACAGTTACAAAACAAAGTGTTCCAGAAATGATATACAATAGCTACCATATGAAAGCCTTCTATTGATACGAGGCTGTGATAAGAGCTTTAAACATAATTTTTTTTTTTTTTGGTAGTACGGGGGATTGAATCCAGGACCTTGCACTTGCTAGGCAGGTACTCTACCACTTAAGCCATTCTTCCAACCCTCTTTACCTTGATTATTTTTGAGACAGGGTCTCACTTTATGCCAACCTGCCTAGACCATAATCCTATTTGTTTCTCTGTACAGCTGGGATGACAGGCATGTGCTACTGTCCCCAGCCACTGATAGAGTTGGGGTGTTGAACTTTCTGCCTGGGCTGACCTTAAACTGATATTTGCCTGAGTAGCTAAGATTACAGGGTTGAGCCACTGCTCCTGGTCAAAACATACCCTTATTTAATCTACCTAACAAGCATATAAGGTAAGTACTCTTTGATTTTTGACAGATGAGAATAACTAAGAAAAACAGATAAGTCATCTGCCCAAGGTCCTGTAGCTAGTAAGTGACAGAATTAGGATTCAGACTTAAGTCTGTCAGACTTTATTATTTTCAAAAGTCATTTAATCACTTCCAATAGTCTAATACTAAACAATTACTTTTAGGAAGCATTCACCTAATTAAAAAAAAATCAACTGTATTTTATATACTTCTCACAAAATTATTATGAATAACTAGACTTAATGTGAACTTTTTTTTCTTAAAATTTTTGTTTTGAAAAAGAACTTCAAGTTCTCAAGAAGCCGGAATTCAGTTACATCTTACCTTCGAGGAGGAATGTTAACATCTGCCAGTGTATACAAAGGTGTCAGGCTTGACACAAGATAATGAAGTTGAGGAAAAGGAACTAAATTCATGCTGATTTCATTAAGGTCCATATTAAGAGACCCTTCAAACCTTGCAGAGCTAAAAATAAGACATATAAAACAATGAGAATAGTTTTAATTTAAAAATTTTGTACTTTGAATTTAACTTATTTAGTAGACATTTTCTCAAATCTTTTTGTACAATGTGCAGTGTAGAAATAGCTCTTTTCCTGTATTATTGGAACTCAGTACCATGAGCAATTATGTATATAATGATGCTCAAGAAACACCTGAGAGCCAAGTCATGAAAATCTACTGGATCAGTTAAAATCATATCGATTAGTTAGTTTAAAAGATTAAGATGTTGTACAGGGAAAAAAAGTTTAATTTTGTCCAACCAAGTGTAGTTTAAGAGTATCTATACAAAACAGCTTATTATTGAATACCCACTAATATTTCATGGAATATACTTGGAGAAATGATGCTTTGGAGTCACAGGAATTAAAATTTTGACCTATAACTCCAAGAGATGAAAATATGAGACAGAATAAAAACAAAAAAGCTCCTACAACCTAGAATAAAAAAATGCTACTGGGCTGGGGGTGTAGCTCAGTGTATAGTGCTTATAGTAGCATGCTTAAGGCCCTGGGTTCAATACCCAGCATCACAAAAACAAAAATGCTACTACAAAAATTAAAAACATCATCAAAAGCATAGTGAAGTTTTTGATTCATTTTACTTAGACAGGATTACCTTGTTAGGTTGAGTAGCAAATTTGCCACAATGTTGTTCATTGCATCAAAGGGCTTCTTGTGCCGTTTTTTGAAAGCCTCAGCATTTGAAGTAATCAGACTCTTTGGCTTCACAATCGTACCCAACTTTCCAGAATTCACCATCAGGTCAATTTTGCTAATGATGTCAAATAAAGACTTTTGAGAGAAAAACATTGGGAGAGAAAGCTTTTAAAAAAAGTGGGCTGTACTTACTAGGAGAGACAGAAGAAAAAGAAAAACAATTTAAGCTTATTTTTTCCTCGTAGATGGAGAAGACTACAAAGTGAAGAGAATGTTTTGTATAAACTAATAAGTATAACACAGTATTAAATGTAACTTCTCTATAAGTCCCAATGTCATTCCTTACTTGATTGTCAATGGGAAGCACACAGTCTGCATGCTCATTAAGTTCCTTCATTGCCAAGATGCTATTGTAAGGTGAGGTTATGACATCATCCTCAGCAGAAGGATAAATTGAAGTCACAAATCTGTGTACTTCTGGGAATT